AGTGGTGCTGTGGCTCAAGTGGTAGAGCGCTAGCCTTGAGCTGAAGAGCTGAGGGACAGCGCCCAGGCCCAGAGTTCAGGCCCCATGACCAGCAAAAAAAAAAAAAAAAGAAAGAAAAAAATCAATGGAGACAGGAAAGAAGGAAGGGAGGGAGAGAGGAAGGAAGGAAGGACGGAGGTGGGCGGGGCTCAGCTCCATCTCTATCTCTGGCTCCTTCTGCCCACTCTGCTGAGTACTGGGGCTCAGGGAGGCTCAGGGGTGGCCCCACAGGGAGGCCCTGGTGCCCACAGCCTGCTCAGGGCCTCGGTGGCCTGGGCCGGGTCCACTCCCCGTCCGCAGGCTCACCTTGATGCGTTCCATCCCGGCTTCGATGCGGAGTTGCTCCACCAGCTTTCGGGCCTGCGCTACGTTGTTAGTGGCTGACATTGTTCTGCCATCAGTGTGGGCCCCGACGTCCAGAGAGCTGGGGGGGAGGGCACACAGATGTAAGCTGGCTGGCGACACCCTGGGACAGACACCCCTTCCAGGAAGCCCCCCCCCCGCCCCGCAGGCCCCGCTGTGGACAGGACTGGGTGACTGTCACCCGCATTCCCTGCCTGGAACTGGTCAGGGCTCAGCACTTGCTGCCAGGGGCGACGGCTCGGAAGGTCGGGGTACTGGGGACGCCTGGCGGGGTTCTCTGCAGGGGGCTGAGCCTTGCCCCTCATCTCCCCCCCATGCCAGGAGCTGCCCAGTTGTGCCAGCCACACGTGTCCCCAGACGTGACCCAGTGTTCCCTGGAGCGGAGGCACCTCCGGGAGACAGTCGCTGCCTGTGGATGGCGTGGCTCACTGGAGTCTGTGTATGCCGTCTGCTCTGGGGTGTGGATCTGTGGCACTCATTCACTCCTTTATTCATCTACTCATCTGTGTATTCATTTATCCATCCATCCACACATCTACCATCCATCCATCTACCCATCTACCCATCACCATCCATCCACTTGTCCATCCATCCATCCATCCATCCATCATCATCCATCCATCCATCCATCCACCCAGCCACCCATCCATCCATCATCATCCATCCATCCATCCATCCATCATCATCCATCCATCCATCCATCCATCCACACATCTACCATCCATCCATCTACCCATCTACCCATCACCATCCATCCACTTGTCCATCCATCCATCCATCATCATCCATCCACCCACCCATCCATCCATCCATCATCATCCATCCACCCATCCATCCATCAATCCATCATCCATCCATCCATCTACCCATCTACCCATCACCATCCATCCACTTGTCCATCCATCCATCCATCCATCATCATCCATGCATCCATCCATGCATCCATCCATCCATCATCATCATCCATCCATCCATCCATCCATCCATCCATCCATCCACCTATCTCTATCCATCCATCCATCCACACATCCACCATCCATCCATCCACTTGTCCATCCATCCATCCACTTGTCCATCCATCCATCCATCCATCCATCATCATCATCCATCCATCCATCCATCCATCATCATCCATCCACCCATCCATCCATCAATCCATCATCCATCCACCCATCTCTATCCATCCATCCATCCACCCATCATCATCCATCCACTTGTCCATCCATCCATCTACACATCCACCTATCTACCATCATCCATCCACCTATCTCATCCATCCATCCATCCATCCACACATCCACCCATCCATCCATCATCCATCCACTGGTCCATCCATCCATCCACATATCCACCATCCATCCATCTACTCATCTCTGTCTATCCACTTGTCCATCCATCCATCCATCTATCGATCCACCCATCCAACATCATCCATCCATTGATTTATATCAATCCACCCACCTACCCACTTACCATCTTTCTGTCCACTCACCTTTATTTCTGTCCGTCAATCTGCCCACCCTGTCCCTTCCTCCCTTCCGCCAACCTGCCCAGAGCATTGTGGCTGTTCACCCCATGTGCCAGAACTATGTTGAGAATTCATCTAAAATCTCCACGTGTCCCGGTGCCCAGGGGTCCGCACTGGGAAGCAGCGGCCGTCAGACCTGAGGGAGGGGGGCAGGGTCGGCTGTCCTGGAAGGCAGCCAGGTGCTGTGACCTCGGTTTCCACTCTGCGACAACCCCTCCCTCTCACTTCCTGCTGGGGAAGAGGCAGCAGGGGGCACTGGTGTCAGAAACTCTAGGACCCCAAGACTCAGCGGTCACGGGGGATTGGAGGGGACCACACAGTGAGGGTTCTGTGTCCTGGGGCTGCCTTAACAAATGGCCATGACAGAGCAACTGGAAACCACAGGAATCCAACCTTGGATGGGGGCAGAGGAGGATCCAGGCTGTGTGCACACTAGACAAGGCTGTGTGCACACTAGACAAGTGCTCGGTGCTGAGCTGCAACCCCAATCCCTCTTCTTACAAGAGCCCCAGCCCCTGCACAGGGCCGGCCCTGCTTCAGTGTAACCTCTTCAAACACCATCACCAAAGGCTCCATTTCCCTTATTTGGAAAGGGAGCTATACGGTGAGCAACCTTGGGAGTGGCTTCCTCCCGCTCACATGTATCAGTGTTTCATTCCTTTTCACTGCTGTGTAATATTCCATGGTACAGATGAGTACAGAGTTGGTTAAAACATTCACCTGCTGAAGGGCTTCTGAGCCAGTTCTAGTTTGAATCTATCTGAGTAAAAGGTGCTATAAACTTTCCTGTGGACTGGGACAGGTGCCAGGGAGGGTAATTACTGCTTGTATAGTAAATGCATGTGTAGAGTTTTGTTTTAGAAACTGCTGACTCTTCCATTTTACCTGCCTATCAGAAACAGAGAGGCAATGTTGACTTTTATTTTTCTGGTTTAGCTTTCTAAATCTTTTTTTTGTTGTTGTTGGCCACGGGGCTTGAACTCCAGGCCTAGGCACTGTCTCTGAGCTCTTTTTTGCTCAAGGCTAGCTTTTTTTTTTTTCTTGCTCTATCACTTGAGCCATAGCTACATTTGTGGTTTACTGGTGGTTCATTGGAGATAAGAGCCTCAAAGACTTTCCTTCTGAGGAAATCCTCAGATCTCAGCCTCCTGAGATCTAGCTAGGATGAAGGTGTGAGCTATCAGGCTCAGCCTTTTCTAGGGCGTGGCTTCTTTCATTGCTTTTTTTTTTTTTTTTAGTCATGGGGCCTGAACTCTGAGCCTGGGCACTGTCCCTCAGGTCTTCAGCTCAAAGCCAGTGCTCTTCCACTTCAGCCACAGCGCCACTTCCAGTTTTCTGGGTGGTTTATTGGAGATAAGAGTCTCACAGACTTTCTTGCCCGGGCTGGCTTTGAACTGCAATCCTCAGATCTCAGCCTCCTGGGGTAGCTAGGATGACAGGTGTGAGCCACTGGTACCTGGCTTCTTTCATTGAATTTCTATTTAGGCATCTCAACAAGGGGCAACTCTGTCCCCCAGGGGCCCCTGAACTATGTCTGGGAATGTGTGGCAGGGATGCTGTCCTCCCTCACCCCATTTAGCACCACCTGATGTGGAGATGGTGCTATGTGTCAATATCATATCTAGAAAGCATATGTGCAAATGTCCTGGGGTGCCCTTGGTTCCAGGCAGCAGACACTCCACCAGGTATTTAAGCAGGACTGGGTGTCTGTGTTGCAGTCAGTGAAGCTAGGTAGACAAGTAAAGGCAGATTTCAGAATTTCAAGAAATTCCTAGTTACTCATAAACTGGTATGTACAAATCTCCCTGGAATGATAAGGGGGTGGGGGTGGTTTGCCAGCCAGCCCTGATTGCTTCTGTGGGATTCCAGGCATGTCACACAGCGGGGTGACAGGGACACAGCACAGGCCGGTCCCTGGTTAGCAGAGGGGAGCAAAAGACCAGCATTTGTATGAAGGGGAGAGGGGGACGTGCACTACCCCACAGCAGTGTTAGGTTTGTGGGGTGCAGAGTCCCCACAGCAGTACCCCTATAGGGAGGGGACACCCTCCCACATACACATACAAGAACACATGGAGTTTCTGGATCACTGTTGCCAAGGACCTTAAGTGTTAAAAAAAAAAAAAAAAAAAAAACCACAGTGGATACTGGTTGCTGGAGCCTCTAATCCCAGCTGCTCAGGAGGCTGAGATCCACAGATCTCAGTTCAAAGCCAGCACAGGTAGGAAAGTCATTGAGACTTTTTTTTTTCTTTTTTGCTTATGTGGTGCTGAGGAATCAAACCCAGTGCCTCATGCATGCAAGGCACGCGCTCTACCACTGAGCCACCTTCCCAGCCTGTCCTTGAGACTCTTATCTCGGATTAACTAGCAAAAAAGCTGGGAGTGGAGCTGTGGCTCAAGTGGTTGAGTGCTAAGTCTTGAGTGAAAACACTCAGGGATAGCACCCAGGCCCTGAGTTCAAGCCCCAGGAGTGGTGCAAACACACACACACACACACACACGAATGGATCTGTGTGCCTGTACACATGTGTACCTCTGCATGTGTACACACCGGTGGGCAGCACTGTGTGTACACGGTGTGCTGTATCACGCAGGCACCATGCATGCAAGCCTGTCTCTGTGCACACGTGTGCCTGGCATGTGTGTGTGCTCACGGCGTGGTGTGACTCACACTCAGGGCCCCGGTGTGGCCACTCCTGCTGTCCTGCTGCGCTGGTGTCACCAGCTGCCCTGACTCAGCTGTGCCTCAGCCTGGAGGAGGCGGGTGGCTGGACCAGGCCACGCGGGGCGCTGAGTCAGCCCGCGGCCGGCCACCCTGACAGGCCCGCCGGGCCGAGCGGGCAGGTGGGCAGGGGTGGGGCCCGGTGGAGGGAGGCCCCGGGCCGGGCAGGCCGGTGACCCCGGGCAGCCGCCCAGACAGGCAGGCCGGGGCTTGGCCAGGAGGCCCGGCGGTGAGGTTCTTTAAAAATAACCCGCAGTGGCCGCTGCCAGCCTGGCTGGCCCCCAGCACAAAAGGGGGGATGCACGCCCTGCTTTCAGGGCGCCTGCTTTGCAGATGGGACACCCTGCCTGCAAGGTCACGGCAAGGACGCCCCCCCATCACCTCCAACCCGGAGCACAGGACTCACGGGGCCAGGGACCCGCAAGGCCACCCGACCAACCCGGGCCTCCGGGCGGGGCCCAGCAGAAGGGGCGGGGCATAAGATTGGCAGGCGTGCCTTTACATTGGTCCCCTAAGTGCTCAGCGGAAGGGGCGTGGCTTACATGTCAGGGTGTGGCTTGAGGTGTGGGGGCGTGGCTTACAAGGGAAAGTCTTACGTTTAAGGCGTGGCTTAAGCACAAGGGGCGTGGTTTAATATAGCTTGCACAACAGAGGCTCTGAGTTCAATCCCCAGCTCAGACAGGAAACTCACCATCACCACCAACAAAACCTAAAAGCTGCCGGGCGCTGGTGTGGGCGGCTCACGCCTGTCTTCCTAGCTACTCAGGAGGCTGAGGTCTGAGGATCACAGTTTGAAGTCAGCCTGGGCAG